TAATCCGACGTAAGTATGGCTGAGAAACCAACCATAAAACAAAAGACATTTCCATACGCAGGATTTTTTAGATTTTTTAGGAGATTTTTTAGATTAATATACAAGGCAAATAAATTGAAAAAATGAAGCATGAAACTGAAAAAACAGATGTGAAGTAAACGTCTAAAAGAGTTTGCATTTAATAAAAAAATCTCGTCTGGCATCTCTCAGTGGAAAAATATAATTATTTAAACAGAATAGACTCTACGAAGAGAAGATAGCCAATATGGGTATGACGATAAACTGTATCTGGCAGTAAGGCCTTTGATCAGGAGGTTTTTAAAGAGCTTGGATCCACCTATTAATTGCTGGTGTTCTCAAGTTAACACTGAACAGCTGCTAGCACTTGATAGTTTCAGCTATGATCAAATATTTAGCCGCCAAACTGGAACAAAAATCATTATAGAACTGTAAAAAAAGATTTTAATACGAGCCATACACTTTTAGAAAAAATATTACCAGCGATATAATTAAAAAATACCGGCAATAAATTCTTGTCGGCATTAAGTAACCCATTGAGTTTATATCGTAAAGCAAACGAAACCAAACAAGAGAAAAACTAGTCTAAACTCGTTGGCCATTTAATTACAGACTAACACTTACCATGTTTCGTCGACTCTAAGAAGTTCCCATTTTCTTCATTCGCCTTGAATCATCTGAGCAATAACCAGTGAAAGAGCTAAAGAGTTTCTCACTGGGCTATATTTTGGATGACAACTTTTATATCTTAGGTATTTGGTCGAAATAATATTTTCATCTAGCTTTTTCATTTTGAATTAAAATGTGTTTATTCCTGTCCATTAAATGTCTTTTTAATTTTCTATTTTTTGTCTCCTTTGCTTTTATTCTTTGCTTCTCGCTTGATCAAACTTTTGTAATAAAAGCTTTCTTAAAGAAATAGACGATCCTAAATTTCCACGGTTTTAATTTTTCCTAATATTGTTAAATGTAATCGGTATCTATTTTCTAGCAAATATGAAAATTACATTATTTGGGAAATGTTTTTACAGAGGACAGTATATATGTCATTAATATCCAAAAGCGCATTGGAATGACGACATAGTCTTCCGTAAATCCAACAAATGCATTAAGGAAGGAGAATATTTCGTTACAAACTATAAAAATGTCGTGAAATTGTATATATCATTTCTCCTATATGGCAGTAAATGTTAGACAATTTCGTCACTGATGAGGACGAGACTTCAGGCAAGTGAATTTTGGTTCTACAGAAAGATTTTAAGAATATAGTTAACTGAAAATGTGAATAAATAGGTAATCTTAATTAAAATGGAAAGAAAATGTAACCTTAAAATTGAAATTTAGATTTCTATATCACATAATAAGGAAAGGTATCTTGGAGAAATTGACAGTAACCTACAAAATAAAATTGTTTAAATAGACGGAATTTAAATGGGTAGCATTTTTTAAATCTACCGGGAACAGACAAAATGTAAATGTGATTTTCTGTCTATATTTCTGAGATGAGGTATTATGTACACTATTTACATTATTCAGAATATTGTCCTCACCTCTGTTGCCATATTTATCACAACGTTTCGACCTTTCAGTATCTGTCTATATTTCTGAGATGAGGTATTAGGTACATTATTTACATTATTCAGACTATTGCCCTCATCTTTGTCGCCATATTTATTACAACGTTTCGGCCCTTCGGTATCTGTCAATATTTTTGAGATAAGGTATTATGTACATTATTTATATTATTCAGACAAATTTTCTCATCTTCGTCGGCATAATTATTACAAGGTTTCTGCCGTTGTACGCACTGGCCTTCTTCAGGTGGTTGAATTGTCGAATTGAAACCTTTATTTCGCTCTCTGGGGTAGACTGTTCTAGTTCAACGTGCCATTTTTAATGGATGTCAGTTATCAATAATATCCTGTTAATTTCCCTCTGAAAGTTCTACACTGCCTTAGCCGGGTATTGATCTCACTCTCTTTGGGTCCTGTCACTGGATCTAACTAAGGCCTTTATCTACTGTGACATGTCCCCTCAAGGCCTTAAAAGGGAAATTAACAGGAGATAACTGATAACTGACATCCATCAACCAGCTGAAGAAGGCCGGAGCGTACAACGACCGAAATTTTGTAATAAATATGGCGACAAAGATGAGGACAATAGTCCGAATAATGTAAAAAATGTGATTTTATTCATTTATTAGGGATCTATATCTATATAATGATCATTATCATAGCAACGAAGATTAGAAAGTTTTCATTAAGATATACATACATCGGCGATATTTATTACAAAGCAAAACTATTATCTTATATATAGAGAGGGTGTATCAAAAATACTTTTATAAACATTTGGGGATATTTTCCGACAACAAAACAAGGTAAAATGTCGTCGTTGCAGCTCAATTTGTGCAATAAACCATCGGCAAAAGTTCTGTAGTAAGTGATCAGAAGGCGAACGACCCTGCATACCGTGCATATGGTACGCATAGAGGAGCTTCTCTTGAAGTACCCTACATGCGGTACTATGAGCTGAACGACATGCTAGGACCACTTGACATGTACTAACACCTGGATAGTACCCGACAGGCTGTAGAATGTATTCTATGTAGTCATGTGTTCGAGCGGATCTCAGTTCTGTCTCAGCAACACGACGATAGATAGCAGCAAATGTCTAAGCTGCCTTCGTAATCCCATACAATTGTGTCGTGTTTTTAAAAAACATATATGCCTTCTCACGATCTGAATATTCTGCCATTGTTAAACAGAAGATTTCTCAGTTAACTCACTACTAAACAGGTTAAATGGTGAAGTCATGGTAGCCAGGAATATACACGAATAACAAATTTCACCTCATCTAGATGTCAAGACAGCGCCATCAACGGACAAATTTCTTTAAACTTAATAGCTCAAAAAAGAAGGATTTGCGGACATACGTTTATATGTATTTTGTTCTTATTTTGCTTTGAGGAACTCGCCCCCAATGTACACGTATATTTGATACACACTATATATATATATATATATATATATATATATATGTGTGTGTGGGGGGGGTTTATGTGTGTGTGAAAAGCGTGTGTATATAAATATAAATAAATATATATATATATAATTATTTATATATTACAACCGCGGTACTTATTAGAAAGCGCTCAATATCAGAGATAGAGCGAACATATTTAGTTGGATAGATGTGAGTTTGTGGCCGTGGGTTTCACGCTTTTGCGATCGTCAGCTGACGATCGCAAAAGGGTCACAAACTCACATCTATCCAACCAAATATATATATATATATATATATATATATATATATATATATATATATATATATATATCCAAAAGTATAGTATCTATGTGGAACTGAATTTCGATGACAGAGTAAGAATATGATATAAAAGGCTCAAACAGTGTTTCAGCCTTTGATAATATATATATATATATATATATATATATATATATATATATATATATATATATATATATATATATATATATATACCTGTGCGCCTCCGTGTAGTTTGTTAAAATTGGAACTCGTATAATCCCAGGGTAATCCGTGATGACAAAATTGTATCCGATGCATTCATGATAATCATGTGATTAATATCAGAATATATATATATATATATATATATATATATATATATATATATATATATATATATATATATATATATATATTTCAAAAGTATTACGGAATAGAACAATCTTTTTTTTTCTGTGTGCAATCTTAGGCAAACTATTTTGCATGCTGCTTATTACTATTTCTATTAATATTATTATCTGCCATTAGTGATTTAAGGGCCTTGTACTGTCGATCATATTTTGCTTCAAACATAGAATCACGAGGTCCTATTATTCCGCATGATATTGAACACTTTTTTTTGCATCGGTGAATTATGTCTTTGTTTTAATATTTGTGATATTTACAGCTATTTTGATCATGATGGAACCGGTTACCCTTACCCCGTAAGTTTCGTTGCATTAAAATATATCAAAGCTCTGCCATTTAATATGGCATAGAACACAATTTTCTTGTGTTCAGTTTTAGATACACTCTTTCAGGAGGTGCTTGTTTTCACTTATGAGTAAGCCTCCATCAGTCAGTGTCTACCATGGGTAGCACCCTAGTTGTCTGCTTGGCTGGAGCATCGACTTCTGTGTCTGTCGAGGCCGATGCGCGATTGATAATCTGTTGTAGAGGACGCATGTATGTTCTGTCTATGGCCTTCTAGAGCTGTCACTTTGCTTTTTGCCGTCCCGCCTTTCCGTGGCGACTTGTGTCAGCTTCTCCTCCCCTGACTTGAGGTATTTTGTCAGGGTTCCTCTCCATTCGGATCGTATGTCTGTCAGTCTCTCACGGGACTCTATGTTGATGCCCACAGCTTTCATGTCGCGTCTCACGACATCGCGGTACCTCAGCTCTGGCAGCCCAGAGGGTCTCATTCCAGCGGACAGCATTCCATACTTCCTGTCTGTGGGCATGCAGCCGTCTAGTATGCGAGCAACGGTTTCTGCACTGTCTGAGCAGTGTGAACATGCTGGGCAGATCTGCATGAGACAGGATCTCAATGTTGGGCACCTTATCTTGCCACGTTATTTCTGGGAATACTTCTCATGTGAAAGGTGTTCGGATGCCTCTTTTGCCTGGCGTACGTGATCCAAATCTAGCTGCCATATCGCAGTGTGCTATTACGCAGTCGTTGTACACTGCCATCTTCGTCTTCACCTACATCTTGGGATTTGTCCACAAGCGTTTCTTGAGGACCGCAAGTGTTGTAGCTGCCTTCTCGATTCTCTTGTCAATCTCTGCGTCTAAAGGGAGGTTGCCAATGATGCTGGAGTCAAGGTACATGAACTGATAGACCGCGCAGAGCACATAGTCATCAATGGCGATGGCTGGTGTGGTTTCTGCCTGAGGGTCAGCTCGAGGTCTCTGAAGGCCTGGGAAAAAAGGGTTCATCAGTGACTGAAGTTCACAATGGGTGTGAGTCGCTACCATCGCATCGTCGGCAAAAAGAATGTCTCTGACAAGAGCTTCATGTACTTTGATCCTGGCTCTGAGGAGGGTGAGATGGCACAACCCGCCATTTGATCCCGTACGCAGGTAAATTCTTTCACTTGATGTGCCGAATGCATGCTTCAGAAGCAACAAAAAGGAAATCACGAAGAGAGTGGGAGCAAGGAAGCCGCCCCGTTTGACACCACGGCAGACGTTGAAGGGCTAAGAAGTGTTGCCATTGAACTGCACAATCAAACTGCATGTCACAGTGGAATGACAATCAAGCTCTGCAGCTTGGGTGAGCAGGATTCTGAAGAGGCCTTCTCTTGGGCAGATTAATAAAAGCAACGTACACGGGCATCTGAGGTTCTCTGTACTTCTCCTGGAGCTGGCGAAGGGAGAAGACCATGTCTGTTGTTGATCTTCCAGCCCACAAACCGCACTGTGACTCTGGGTAGACACGTTCCGCTAATTTCAGCAGGTGGATCAAGTTGACCAGAGCGAAGACTTTATCCACAATGCTGATAGCGCGATGACTCTGCAGTTATTGCAGTCGCTTCGCTCATCCTCGTTCTTGTAGATGGTGACGATCTTGCCATCTCTATTATATATATATATATATATATATATATATATATATATATATATATATATATATATATATATATATATATAAGCCATCGCCTTGTCATCAGTCAAGATTCCTTATCTAAAGGAGGTTTCCCCGATTGCTATCTAAATTAAAAACCCTTGATTACGAGATAGTATGTCAAGAGCTGAAAAGACTGACGTAATGTGAAGCCTGTCTGAAATAGTCTGTACCCACATGAGATCATTTTGGATTCTTGCTGTATAATATATGCTGTGTTATAATAAATACATTGAGCTCTCTCTGTGGATCTGCATATATATGCATATATATGTGTGTGTGCATATATACATATGTGTGTGTATATACATATATATATGTGTGTGTGTGTGTATCTAAAAAGGGAGGTATAACGCTAGTATAAGAAAGGGAGGTAATTAAACGGTTGAAGTAATTACAATGGATGGAGGAGAAACTGAGAATGATGGAATTTAACAACGTAATGGTATAATACATAAAAAGAAATTAATTTTTGTTGTTTTTTTTTTAACTGTCACACAAAAAAGGAAAATATAACTCGGGAATGGACAAGCATATCAAATACCCATTATGATAAAATAGACTAAAATGCATTAAAGACTACATCAATTAGGGTTAAGCAAAAATTATATTATTATGTGCATTAAAAGCTGTTTTAAAAGTATTTAAAATAGAGCACACATTATAGATGAGCAAATGAATATATAAAGCCTGTATATCTTAATGTATTATACTTTAATTAAAAACGCATTTCGAAGTTGTAAATATTAATGAGATTAAATGCCAAGGCGAGATAAGATAATCGATTTGATTTTGATTGGAGAAGAATGCAATAGCTAGATATTAACATAATTAGATAGATAACGGAAAAAAGAGATGGATGAAACTAAAATGATTAGAGACACATAAATGTTTATTCCTTAATTTGTACAAGCTAGAGTTTCTTAAAAGCCTGTATTGTTATTTATTTTTCTTATTTTTTTTTTTACTACAAGGAAAATGATCACTTGATTTTAGAAAACGGGTTAATTTAAAAAAAAATAAATAAATAAATTAATAAATCAGTAGAAGTGTCATAATAAATGCATAATTAAAATGCCGAAAAATTGAGCAGTAGGAACATGCACCTGCCTATATAGATGAGGGCTGAAATCTAAAATCAAAATAACGTAGAAGCTGTATCTTGCTCTAACGGTCAACGTTCTCATTCTTTCAGCCATTCTAAATAATGGACGGAATTTGCCAGCGAAATAAAATATTTGCGTTGCTGGAGGTTCTCCCAAAACAGAGATTACCCATAAGGAAACTTCGTCTTTAGCGAAGAAACATTGGCAATTTCTATCTGGAGTTGGGTATAGCCACACAAACTTTGTTACAGGAAATAAACGAGACAACGCTGAGTTTCGTTTATTCACGGTTAGAAAAAAAAAAGAATGGCAAAGAAAATAATAGAAAATTTAATAGCATCTGTAGCTGTAATGCGTAAGTGACAGCACGGGAATTTCGGAAACTAAGAACAAATCGAGGTTGAAAAAAAAAGAAAGGAAAAACATTAAAAATGATTGTGTGACGAAAAGGACAAAAAAGAAGTAATGAAAAAGAAAACAAAAACATGATCGTCGAGGAAATGAAAAAGAAACTGAAAAGAAAAAAGAGAGAAAATCCTGAAATATAATTATAACAGAAAAGCGAAATGGTATATGAAATGAAAGCATTTATTTTCGGGAATGCATTCTGAAGGAAAAATATTTACAGAAAAGATATGCCAGCAGATAGTGATGAGGTATACTCATAGAAAGAACGAAACATGAAACATAGAATCGTTGAACAATAACTTTATATAATATATAACGATTAGAAAGATTCACGAAGAAAAAAAAATAAAGAGAGAAAGTCGCATTGAATTTAAGAAAGACAGAAATAGCAACAATCAAAACGGCGAGCCAAAGCAAAATTAGAGTATAAAAGAAAAAAAAAAAACGATTAAAATTGTTGGACATTTAAAAAAAAATGAAAAAAAGTAAGAGATAGGCAAAAATATACCAAATCTTCAAATCCGAAAATAGATTCTTTAACAAAAGTTAAACATTATGCAATAAGACAAAAGACGTCAAAAAGACGCGGGAAAAAAGATTTAAAGCAAAATAAATTTTTCCAGGAATTGATTCAAAAGAGCTGATAGGAAAGCGGGTGATGAAGAGATAAACCAGACAGACAGATAGAATGACCGACAGAATGACAGACTGACAGAAAGTGTTTTGACATACAAATATCCCCGGTAAATTATTAAGATCGTCTAAAAGTTAGTTATCCAGAAACTGGTGATATATATATATATATATATATATATAGATAGATAGATAGATAGATAGATAGATAGATAGATAGATAGATAGATAGATAGATAATGAAAAAACTGAGATAAATAATGAAAAGACTGAGATAGATAGATAGATAGATAGATAATGAACAGGCTTAGATAGATAGATAGATAGATAGATAGATAGATAGATAATGAACAGACTTAGATAGATAGATAGATAGATAGATAGATAGATAGATAGACAGATAGATAGATAGATAGATAGATAGATAATGAACAGACTTAGATAGATAGATAGATAGATAGATAGATAGATAGATAGATAATGAACAGACTTAGATAGATAGATAGATAGATAGATAGATAGATAGATAGATAGATAGATAATGAACAGACTAGGATAGATAGATAGATAGATAGATAGATAGATAGATAGATAGATAGATAGATAATGAACAGACTTAGATAGATAGATAGATAGATAGATAGATAGATAGATAGATAGATAGATAGATAGATAGATAGATAGATATGATAAGACTTAGATAGCTAGAAAGAGAGAGAGAAATTGTACCAGTCATAAAGAAGCAAAGAAAGAGAGAAACTGACGGGAAATCATATAAGATAAACAAAAGAGACCATAAAGAAAATGACTGAACAAGAAAGAATCCTTCTAGACATTGTAGGCAAATTAATACACTTGGAGATAAGAACATTTGAAAATGTACTATGAAGCCATCTAAAGAAAAAAATGACAAGTGCGAAGAAAAAATAATGGAAGATTTTCGAAATAAAAGGGGAAATCGAAGTTTTATCTCGCGGACATTACGATCGCATCGTATAAGACTTTGTCGTTGAGAGTAAATGCCGGTGCTTTGGTGTGTGGTCCTCGAAATAGCGCCCAGTGCCCGGCAATTTCCAAAAGACACAAGGTAATTGCTGCCCACGTGGAACCGGAAATGGCCTTCTTTAGCGAATGCTGAATTGGCAGAGCTGAAAACACGAAAAAGAATCGTGAGACGAACAATGTCAGCAATCATTGTTATTAGAGCTGACATCATCAATCGTAGTAAAGTCTGGATATGAGAACGAAAGACACAAACAAAAACGAGATATTGGTAAATGATTAAAATAACGGGGGAAAGAAAAAAGAAAAGAGTAAGTGTGAGAGAATGTGCATTGGGTGAAAAGATATAGAAAGGCAGAAATATGATAGAGAGGGATCAAAATAATTCGGAAAGAAAGAGACTAATGAAAACAATAAAAGGATGGAATAGGAAGGAAAAATACTGTGCCATCCTCAAGGGAAAAACACATCCAATCTCCGATTTTTAAATTACTCTAAAATTAAGTGGGTGAATATAAAGTATTTTATAAGATACGCTATAAAGTAAAATAAAATTCCTTTTTGACTTATGCATCTAACTCTTTATATGCACACACACACACACACGCACATATATATATATATATGATAAGCAAATATAAATGGATATAAATCCGACAGAATGAAGAAAATATCTGGAAAAACAATACAAAAATCCTTAAAATGCGATTATGTTGTTTTAATATGAATGAAATGTCGACGTCTGACGTTTCGGTTTAATAACCTTCTTCAGGACAATATTCATTAAAAATACAATTAACATAATCAGTATAACACGACGAAAACGAGGGACATAAAAATAAGTCTTATCCAAAAGAGATAAATGAAAATTTTTAAGAATACGTTGCGAAAGCGTCGCCCATTTGACGACAACGTGACCACGCTCAAACGGAAAGCTGATCATTTAAAATGTTCATTTATCTGTATTGTTTTTCCTGATATTTTCTTCATATATATATATATATATATATATATATATATATATATATATATATATATATATATATATATATATAGAGAGAGAGAGAGAGAGAGAGAGAGAGAAAAAGGTTGCGATGAACAAATTGTCGTGTAAATTACGCAAATATGAAAATAACACTAGCACCTCACTTTAACATATATATTTACCAGACTTACACAAAAATATCTCGAAATACCTAAGAGTAAATTCATTTTATAAAATCGCCATTGGCTTCAACCACGGCCCCTAGACACCTGAAGACTCGCTTGTAACTCATCTTGATGCTCTACTTCTTTAAGCTGGTGAATGCTGTCATAATCTCTGTCTTCAGTTCATTTTTGGTGTTACAAATTGGTTGTTTCTCTTGCTCATCTGCGCCGCACACATAATAATCAAGGGGTTTGGAGTCTTGAGAGTTAGGTGGCGAGATGTAAGGGGTAAAGTGTTGACAGACATGGTGTCTTCCAGCAACTGCCCTCTTGACCCTCTTGACCCAGGGCATCACTACCTCCTCAAGGCATTTGATGTAGGCTTTCGTGTTAAGGCTAAGGTGCTCACGAATGAGTTTTTTTTTCTCATCGGAACATCAGAGTGAGTTTCCCGAGCTGCCGTACCTTTGTAATCACCATTAAACTTATTCAACTATTTCCGAATCCTTTTTACACTCATCAGATTAACATTATCACTCTGAAATAATCCTTTTGAAAGCCAAGCAGTACAGTATGGCGTTTGGAAAGTATACTGGAGGCAGCCATCTACATATGGGGGGGGTATAATCAATAAAATATGTACACAAACATGGAAATGAACGTAAAGCAAGCATGTCTTTTCATTGGATTTATTCAAATTTTATAGCAAGGTTATACCGGGAAGCAAACGCAATATTACCATTATAAAATACACAGACGGTTCTCTGTTGATGGCAAACACAGGAGGAAAATTATCGTACATTATTTTCTTCATCATCATTCTTCGACTTCCCTGTGGTTAGTCGAAACTCCATTACCAATCACTTTCCACACTTCTCAGTCATCCATTGACGTTCACAGATCCCTAATATCCAACCCTGGTTCCCGAGCCATGGTGTCTGGGAAATTCAACTTTCGTGAGAAGCTACCTTTAGAAGGATGCCATAGAAGTAAGGATGAGACGACTTACTCGTGCGCTCAGTGGCTGATGACGGCAAACTTGAAGATTGATATCAGTTCTCCATAAATTGTGCTAAGCGACAAGCTAGTAATGTAAGCGAGAACAGACTAAACATCAAGTGTAATATCAGGGGATATACGGTTGTCAGACAGAGTGAAAGACGAAAATACCAGCAAATAGATGCAGATGTCAAACTCAAACAAGTAGAGAATTTTAAATATCTAGGAAATGTTTTAATAGATTAAAGTGTGACAGCAAGATCCGAATGCGCCCTGGAAGAATAAAAAATGTCTTTAAAAAACGTAAACAAAGAACAAAGAAACTTGAAAAATTCATTAGAAACAAAGGAATTAGCGCTGAATGTCACTTAAATAACAATCCTCTTAAATGGCAATGAATATTAGACAATTTCATCACAAAGGAAGAGAAAATACAGGAATTTGTAAATACATGGCAGAACAGAGTGGTAGCGATAATAAGAAGACAATCATTGCTGGAATTCATAGATGATAGGAAGTAATAGAAAAGCAAGAACATCCACCACTTGAAGGAACATGGTACATAGAAGAAACAGTTCTTTTCCCCGATTCTTTGTGTGTTTTGCCTTATTGCATATTATCTTTTCTTATCGCTTACGTTTTCTACATTGTCTACAGATAGATATTTTACGCTTCTTCCCTCCAAATGTAGAATACATAACAGAGAGTAAAATAGGAATTAACAAATTATTGGTTATTGAGTAGTAGCATAATCATATATTCTGACTGGTGAGATTTTGAAAATTACATTTTGAGTAAAGATATTCATCTTCGTATTATAATTAATCAATGTTTTGAAATAAGGATATCGATAATTTTCAGGAAATTTCATAAAAGATTTTACCATTTTTTTCTAATAGATCGGCAGGTGCGAGGAAAGACGAATGAAGAGGCAATAAATATAACCTGAGATAGATGATGAACATTGTGAAATGTTCGGAGTGTTTTCATGTGATTCTTTTCTCTTTGGAGGTCTATTTCCTTCTCTCCCATTTTTTCTATCTTTATCCAGTATCTCTTATATATATATATATATATATATATATATATATATATATATATATATGTGTGTGTGTGTGTTTGTGTGTGTGTGTGTGTTTGTGTGTGTGTGTTTGTTTGTGGGGAGTGGGTGTGCACATATATATGTATATATACATATATGATATAAAGGAAAAAAAAAAATATATATATATTCTGTGTTTATGTCATGGGTATTTAGCAAATAGTTCTCCAACATTTAATTAATATAAGATAAATTCAAGATAATATATATATTTAAATTATGTATATTTTCCCGTTTCTGTACAAGAAAATATGTCTGGAACCAATCCTTGTAAATACTGTCCAAATATTTGTTATGGCGCTTTTAACCATAAAATATTTACATTCATTGATTCCAGACAGGTGTTTTCTCAAAAAAAAAAAAAACTTAACTAACTGATAATTAAATCATAGTCTGAACTCTTTATTTTAATTAGAGTGTGTGTTTGAGTGTGTGTATGTGCGTTTGTTCGCACGTGTGTGTGCATTTGTTCTCACGTGTGTGTGTGTGTGTGTTCGTGTTAGTCACACAGAGACGTCATTTATAAATAAAGTTAATATTTTTACATTTTACCCGCTAATGAATTCTGAAAACTTTAGGCTGTGGCTGTTTGTCTGTACCCCTTGCATGTTTCATTTGTGCGTATTCCTGCAAAATGTAGTTAGATTGCACTGAATAAAAGTGGTTGTAATACATTTTAACCTGGATCAAAAGCTGAAATGGTTTCTCTAGACACTCACATGTAGAAAGATAAATGTTTCGCTCGAATTATCACAATTTAATAAACACAATGAGTATATTATATTTCTGCAATTAATTCACTCAAAATAATTAACTTTAACTTTACTTCAAAGACGATCAAACAAATTTTCTATTTCCTGATGTTAATGATCCAATATTTATATTTGCCATTTTGCTATCGATAACTTAATTAAATTTTACCGATCGGATAGGCAATAATTTACATTATTTGTATGCGTTTAAGATTTATTTTCGTCTTTATTTTTAACGTTAATGAATAAATATATATGTATGCATAGACTATGCATTATAAACGTACATAAGGCAGATAAGATAAGAGGTATACTTTGAAGTAGGACTCGTCGGAATCCGTCGTATTTAAATGAGTGTGGTCATTGTATGTTGTATATTTACATCTGTTTTTGGTGAAAGTTTTTCGACCAAATCAATTTCATGTTACTGAACGATTACTTTTGTTTTATTAAAATATCTTAGAACTGCTTAAATGTGTGTTTTAGTTGGAGTATTTGGAAATGAGTTTAGAAAATTTTCTCTTCTCTTTTGCGTTTCTGAACACAATTGATCCCATTGATAATACTGACAAAATGACATGACACATGTTAATGCATTTGCAAACTTTCTACATGATATGAGACATTCCTAAGGTGAAAGTATTTATGACTATATGAACAATTTCGGATCTTAAGTATTCTTGCATCATGGCCAATTATAACCGATATGCGTTAATACATGGCCGAGTGGTTAGAATGTTCGCATTATGACCATGCGACGAGGGTTCGAATCTCACCATGGTCGATATTTCACCAAGGAGACTTTTTTCCTAACACTTTCTTTGAAGTTGTGTTGAAAAATCAGCGTCTAGGTGATGTCATTATTTTTTTCTCTTTTAATATATATGCTTTCCGTTTTACTTACTCAGGTTGTTGAAAATTCTCAAGTGATGTAGTATCTGTTACTTGATACAGTATTTGTGTCTGATTCTGTAGGGTCAATCCACAAGATTCGAAGTAGGATGGACCTTGCTCAAGAATTCCAGGCTTGATTCCTTCGACTTTAATCATCGATCTGTGAAAACGGTCGAATACAGCTGACAATTTAAATATTTCTGAACAAGTCTGTAGTCATGCATGATATTCATATGGAAGTTTCGATCTGACAATAATATAAAGTTATCGGTAATGACAAACTCAAGGTGATTTTTTAAGATTGTTTTTAATTCCATTTTTCTTTGGCTCAGAAGATATTTCTTCTATTTGGAAAAAAATGAAAAATAAAATACCCTGGATCTCCTGAGAATTTCGGCTTTCAGAATCAGTTATCTAAGAGTTTTATTTATATGCTTGTATCTTTGTGTATGCATTGTTTTGTTCGGCAGTTTTTGCTGCACTATGTCATCATAAAACGTATGTCATGTCGTTTTCTCTTTCAAATTTCGATTCTTCATACTTCATATTTCTTCATATGTCGTTGCTAAAATCAACCTGCTACAATCTGAAATATGTTTCAAAAGGGAATTTTAAGCCGTAAAACAATTTAACCAATTACGCCCCAAGTTGTGCTGTTGTGTAATTTTTGTTAATCCGTGAAATGTATGCAATGTGTTTTGATCTGAATTTCTGGGATGAGGCGTTATCATTATTTTCACTATTTTTCATTCGGACAAATATCCTCACAACATTTCGGCCGTTGTGACTTCCGGACTTCATCAGGTGTATATCGATCTGTGTAGCCTATTGTAAATTTCTAAAAGAATTCGTTATTTAACATACGGGGATAAACTGTTCTCGCTCCAATATACATGTTAAGAGATATATCGTCTCTTTCATATTTCATTTACACATTTTCAGTTATTGCTCGCCTCTCAGACACAGGGATTGAAATCGCAACCACTATGTCAACAAATTCACAACGCACTTATCCACGAAACAACTGTCCTGAAGAACAACAACAAAGATTAGAAGAGTGTGTGTATATATATATATATATATATATATATATGAAATCATAACACAACGACACACACACCTACTTCGTACGCAATTTAAATTCAACACATTTCCTGTAACGAGGCAAAAAATATGGGTAATTGGTGGGTACTGCCTTACCCCCAACACCAATAGAAGGACAACAGAATAATATAGTAACTATTATTATCAGAGAGAATTATATATATATATATATATATATATATATATATATATATATATATAGATAGATAGATAGATAGATAGATAAATAGATAGATGTGTGTATGTGTCTCTGTGTGTGTATCTTGGCTACAAACTATGGAAGCGATCCTCATCAAAATCCAAAAACCTAACATAAATAAAATAACATTTAATATTGACAGAACCATATTAAACATATTTAATATCTAATCTTCAAATAAAAAAATAATGAGTCCCCTCTTTACCAATAATGAAGTAACCCAATTATATTGTCTAATATTATCTATAGAACTAAAACAACCAGTAACAAATCTCCAAATAAAAACAAATGACATGATGACAGTTGAAGGAAACCGAAACCCCTCGGCAGAAAGTTATCGACTGGAATCCTACTTTAACAGCTTGGCTTGAACTAAACATTAAAGAAACTTGCGACAAAGCCAGAAAAACTGAGTAAAAGATCATCAAGTGAGAGTTCCGTACTCTTTAATAACACATTACTTAATACTAATTACTAATATATATATATATATATATATATATATATATATATATATATATATATATATATATGTGTGTGTGTGTGTGTGTGTGTGTGTGTGTGTGTGTGTGTGTGTGTATGTGTGTGTGTGTGTTGTGGTAGTTATGTAACAGGGTACTAACACTGTTCAAGTGTTTAATTAAATGAAGTCGCTGGATGGGAGAAACTACTGATTGGATAATAATTATGAGTCATTAAAATTAAGCAAATCCAAGATTTCACAACGTATATACTTCCCCCTGATAAAAAGATATGATTAATGTACTGACCGAAAATTTGGATCTTGAGAAACTGAATTAATAGTATCCGTCGAAAACGTGTATATTCTTACAGAAAATGGTGACTCAAATGATCTTACATAAACAGGGTCCATTTAGGTTACAACTGAATCCCGAATTTGTGGTCATCTTATATTAATGCTAATCGCCTAAAATAGCTTTATCCTTACAGAAAGAGAGGACCGAAATTTCTGAAACAAAGATAGCTGTCATAGTTTATTTTTAAATCCTTATATTCAATAGAGTCTATATATCTATTACCGGCCTGAATGTCCAAGAAATTTTCATAGAAAATATTCGTTCACCGAGAGGAATTGAACCTGTATCATATACAGAACTGTTATTTAGCCTGGCGTGCCTTTAGCCGATTCGGCCACAGAGGAGCGTTCGGTTACCAAGGTCTGTAAACTACAATCTTCCATGATTCTCTCATATGCATTCATATCTGCTCATGGTGTATCCAAATGTAAACAAATGACGTCACACATTATGAAATGGACAAAGTCCAACAATTACTTTAACACATTTTCATGTATAAATATAAAAATGTCTTAAGTCTTTGTCCATTTCATAATATATATAATATATATATATATATATATATATATATATATATATATATATATATATATAACAAAACGCATGTTGTGTGAAGAGTCAACGACTCGCAAGAAGACACACATATTTCAGCGACCGTAAAGAACACACGGACACACTAATGAAATACAGTTTTGATCCATCCATTTTATAACAATTACTACGAGGTTTAGATGTAGTTCTACTGTAGATGGTAGAGGAATTTTATTCACCCGGCTTTATGTGCACTAAAATTGTTGCTACATTTACAAGCATTGCTTGTCATTTTATTAAAGTTCTTATTCCAGAACTGATTCCCGGCATTGTCCGTGGACACGAAGAAAGGAATTACTACGATCGCAATTCAAGAATTATTTATTACTGAATTGCAGTACAGATTTGATACATCACCAGAATTATGAAATCCAAAAATACTATCGAAATGACACAACGGTCACAGCCGAGAAGGAATAGAAAGCCGGTTTTCCCGTAACGTGGGTGTTACTCAACAAAGCGAAGCTATCGACGGGGAAGATGAGAGTGACTGGAATACGGACAG